TGAAATCTAAGAAACATAAACCCTAAAATTTTGAAAATGGAATTCACACTTACCTAAGAACCGACGAGGTAGGACGCGGGAGATAGGCCGGCGGTGAAGAATAGCGACGACTCGAGGAAGAGGAGAAAGCCGATGAGGAACAGAGAGGAGAAAGTGAGAGGACTGGGGAGATGGAAAAAATGGAAAGCCACTGAATCGTGGGAAGAGGATGAGAATTATAAAAATCTAGGGTTTCCATTTTTTTTACCAAACCGGATTTCAGGTTTTTTGTTAAACCGATCCGATTAATTAATGAACCAGTTAGTCCAACGTGGCAAAACATGTGGATGCTTAGTCGGATTTAATAAAGCTGAATCATCGATTTTTTACCGTTGAACAGTGACACGTTAAACGCCGTCAACCATATATGTTTTATTTGGTAAATTTTTAAAAGTATGGGTATTTATATGGGACTTTTGAAAAGTATAGGTATTTATCTGGGAATTTTATAGTATAGGTATTTATCTGGGAGTTTTGTAAAAGTACAGGTATTTATCTGTGATTTTACCTAGAAATTATAAAGAATTTGCTTATTGTTAAAACTTACACAATTCAAAAGTATGATGCATGTGATATCTGTGGTGATTCTTTTAATTCGATATATTAAAAATTATGCAAATACAAACTTTCTATAATAAAAATCACGTGATCTTTACACGGTGTACGTCACTTCGAGATTCATATTTAATTTTCTGACGCATGTAAGTCATCATAATATATATATATATATATAATACACGGTTACCAATAGTAAATGTCAATAATTGTTACGAAATCTTCTTCTGTAGTGGTTAGGGGCGGACAAAATAACCGAACCCGAATAACAGAATCGAACCCGATCGATAAATAATCGAATCGAACTGAACCGAATAAAATTAAATTACCGTTTGGTTACAATTTTTTAAAACCCGAAATAACCGAACCCGAACCGATTAAAAATTATTAACCGTTTGGTTATAAATTTTTATAAACCGAATTAAACGAACCCGAACCGAACCGAACCGAAATGTTTATATATATTCATTTATATATATTTATATACATATACGAATGCTTATATTCTTGATTTAATCATTGTTTTATTATATTTTAAATGCATTTTATCATTGTTTTTAAAGTTTGTGTGATATAAACATTAGAAAAAAACGATCTTTATTTATTTAATAGTTTTATATCAAAATATAAATTTAGATATTATTATTTTATATGTTAAAATAATTATGATAATATTTTATATTATATTTTATTTGAATATTTTTAATTATAAATGAATTGATTTTTTTAATATTATAACCGAATCGAAACCGAACCGAACCGAATCTTTATTTGGTTATAGTTTTAAATAGACAAAACCGAGCTGAACCGAACCGAAAACCGAACCGAATAAAATTAATTAACTGTTTGGTTATGAGTTTTAATAACCCGAAATAACCAAACCCGAAATAACCGTAACCGATTAACTCGTAACCGACCGTTCGCCCACCCACCCCTAGTAGTGGTATCACAATACAGGTGCGTCGATATTTTCCACAAATAGGAAATAAGGCTTTGAATGGAGATACTTTTATTTTGGGTTTTTGGTTTTAGTTTTTGGATTTTGGTTTTTAGTTTTTGGTTTTTGGCTTTTAGATTTTATAATATTTGAATACTAAAAAAAATAGCTTTTGGTTTTTCATTGATTTTTTTAATAAAATGGTTTTCTAAATTTTTAGGAAAAATAATTTTGTAAAAACTTGAATGATGTTTTTATTTTGTTTTTGGACTTTAAAAACTTCAAAAATCCCCGCATTCAAGATCTAAATCTATTGAAAACAGAATTGGTTTAAGGGCTCAACTGATTTTCACACCATAAAAAATTGATTGATTTAATTGAAATTGCTTTAACAAAATACGAAAAATCTAATCGCAACCCTTTATCTAGTTTTGATATTGATATATGATATTTTATTAAAAAAAAAATTACAATACCCTCTAATTTTCTAAAATTTCATAAGATTCTACTGAAATCTGTAATCCAATCATTACAAAAAAAAAAAAAATGTAGATTATGCTTATTCATGGCTACACAACACACAATTCTTATGGATTAATTAAAGGCTGGATTCAGGAAACGGTAGCAAAAGAGGGTTTACAAATAACATCATCTGTGAGCCATCTCTCTTTGACGTGCGGCTTTATTCAGCTGCACCAGCAGACAAATGACCCCCTCTTCTAATGTAGCCTTCCTGTCCTGTCTGAAGTTCCACAGCTCTGAGGTTATGTACCTTCCGCTGGGGTTATAGTCATTTATCTCCACCAAGGCCTTGGCCACTGCACTGTACACATCCTTCCCCAGTTCCTTCTCCAATTCTCTCAGCCTTTCCTCCTCCTCGTTTATCACTTCCTAACAGAGGAAACAACAGGCTTGAAAAAAAGATCAAACATGACAAAAATGATGCGGCCATGCATAAACACGCACAAAAAAAAAAGGGATTTGTATGAGCATATACGCAGGAGTGTGCATCTCTAAGAACACGAGAAGTTACATGTATCGATACTTCTCTATAATCAATCCAAGATGATAATGAGTTTGAGAACAATGCAAAAAAAATTGTAATGTAAGGATTGTGTCCCTATGAAGACTAGATTCAGTGTTATATAAGAAAGGCGTACCATTTCTCTGTCCCCGTTATCGACCTTGATCCGCTTGAAAGGATGCCAATCTGGGTCTTTAAGATATTCCTCCCAGAGCTGGCAAGCTTCAAATGTTTTGTCTTCTGCTTCTCCTTCATTGTATTTTATTTTCATTGCTTCCAGGAACGGTTTGCTGTCGAGCTCCCCCATTCTCTTAATACCGATGTACGAATTCATGTCTTTCAGAGTCTGCAATGCAAATGAATTATTAACTGAAATCAGTCGAAGAATCACATAACTCGGGTATTACGGATGTTAAGGTAAACTCCCTACATGCAAAAGGCCCAGCAAGTAGGTTGTTCAAGAGAAAATGTAGATGTTGCTTACATTTATCAGCTCCCTGCGTGCTTCTTGAAGCTCGTTATTGCTCTCCCGCTCTCTTATGATAAGTTCTTGGTGGAATTTATCCAACTCTTCGAGTTCTCGTCCCTTTTCACTTAGATCTCTGAGCAAATTCTCGATCTTCACACCGTCATCACCATTGAATGCCAAGCACACCATAACGTTCACATGTGCACTTAAGTCTTCGATCTCTAACTCGAGGGCTTCTTTCTGGTCCAGTTGTCTTTCCAGTGCAATTATTCTCTCACGAAGCTCTTCCTTTTGCCTCTGGGGTAAATGAACATGACTATACTCATATCACATATTCCAAAGGTAACATGAAGCTAGATACCACCCTTTTAAAGAACTCTAACCTTCTGATCTTCAGCTAATTTTCTCACGTCCTCATCGGCTGTTTGTTTTTCCATGTCAGTTAGTTCAAAAAACCTATTTTTATAGACAATCTGAAGGAAGAAGAAGGAAATAAAAGTTTAATTACTCAAATGAGCCTTTATTCCAGGCCCGATAAAAATGAGAGGAATTGAACCAGAATTGAGTTAGTGTATACCTCTTCAAGCTCTTCCTTCACTTTTCTTCTATTTATTTCATTTTCCATCTCACGCTTTGCCAACTCCAGTAATTTGATTTCAAGCTCCTTGTTTTGAGCCTCCAGTTGCATCTTTTGTTTTTCATGGTTGCCAAAGATCACATGAGAGTGAACCATCGCTCTTTCCTGTCTTTTCTTCAGCTCTATGAAAACTCAAAGAAATTATAACACGAAACAAAACATGATCCAGTAATTTTACACTTCCCCTTATGACCAATGAGGCAATGTATAGCTCAATGGATGAATTGATGCTACAAGGGGCTCTCAGCAAAATGCTAACCAAATAAAGCAGTTCCATAACAAGATGCACTTCGAAGCTTGGCTAAAAAACACACCTTCACTATAATCATGGAGAAGCTTTTGCTTCTCCTCAGTTGCATGCTTCAGTTTTGTTGATGTCTTTGACAATTTGTTCTCTAATGCCTTCCTGTGTCTTTCTTTATCCTGGGCAATTCTTATCAGATTCTGTACAAGCCTTTGCTCTTTCCAGGCCTCTTCTTCCATCAGCCCAGTGATAGTTCTGAGGTCACCCATCTTCCGCAGGTTTTCTCCAATTATACTATGCCCATTATAATCATCGACACGAGCAAGCCATGCATAAAGGCCTGATTTTTCACCTTCTCTCAGCCAATCTAGCTTCCCCTGAGCATCTGCCTGATAAGCTTTGTCGAACTGCAAAGCATGGTTAAGCCCATTCCAGCAATTGTCGAATTCCACAATTGCGGTTCCTGAATGACCGTAGTCATCCCATAATGTGCGAACCCTGACTGGACTGAATCCTCTTTGAATAAATTCATCTCTAAGCTTTGATCCACTTTCCCCAGCCCACCGGCCATCTTGTGTCATTGATATCGGGATATTAGCCACGATGCCTACTCCAGCACAAATTGAAAGTCCTGTTAGTAGAGCTGACCTCATACATACCAATACTGTGACAGAGATTCAATACAAAAAAAACAATAACCCTTTTTTTTTCTTTTTGGGGCACAGTATAATACTTAGCAAGTGGTTATGTCCATAAACAAAAGTAGATAACAAGCAAGTCTTGTTACTTAGTCATAGGCTTGTAATTCTATAGCAAACACCCATTAGGATTTATTTTATAAACTGTAATGTACCTTTCCAAGGCCACACGAATCTTTCGCCATCCTCCGAAAATTCATGAGGGTTTGATAGAGTGGCGGAATCTGCCAGATCGTTTTGAAGGTATTTGAAAAGAGCACGGTGGCTTGCCTTCTGTTTTGCACTTCTTTTCTTGGAGCTGCTATTACCGACTCCAGAAGCGTGTTGAAGGAGGTCCTTGTACAGACAAACCCTCCTCTTATTCATTGGACAAAACGGGCATATGAAAGTCTTGGAAGAGACTTTCACCTCTAGCCTTCCACGTTTCAGGTTATTGTACAACTTTTTCTCACATTTCTTTGAGCTTGCCACCATTTTTTTTCTTGTTACTACAAATGTATAACCAAATGTTAGAGAACCAAGCGCTATTGCCTAGATAATAGATATGTTTTGGTAAGATAACCATATCTTCATTCCTTTGGCAAAGCTAAAAGCCTAAATCAACATCCACAAACCTTACACTCTTCTATCAGACAAATCTTACTAATACAACAATACAACTCAAACTGCATTACAGCCCTAGGAGTTTCGGTAAAAGTGAAAACAAACATCCTGCGAATGTTTCAGGAAAAGGAAAAAAAACAGAGCACAAAAAATCTGGGATTGGTCGGCTGATAAACTAGCGAGAAATAGATTCAGCACAGCACACAACGAAGCAGAAAAACCAGCTCACTATAAGCCAAATCCGGACACAACCACTCTTCTTCTTCGTTCCTTGGGCAGAGAGAGAGAGAGAGAGAGATAGAGAGATTCTCACAATCTCTAAAGACTACTCTCAGAACTCCATACCCAAGCATGGTATCCATCCACAACACCAAAGCATCTCTGTCCTAACGGCACGAGTTGAAGTACTTAATAGAGTTTCCAAGAGAAATTGATTCCGCTATAAGAATTCAACTGAAATCGGGTAATCATCAAAAGCAACCAAACAACACCGTTGAATATTTTGCATGCTGAGATAAACACAGACCTGTTACCGGACAAAGACACTCCTCTCAATCTTTCATTAAGTCTAGCCCTTGCAAGCAGAACAGCTCAGGCATCTCTCTTTCCTGTTCCAGATTCCCCGGTTTCTGTTTCTGACACTCTTGAGTTTCACCATTGTCACCGGTCCTACTTCCTACCAAGAACTAGGTCGTTCCCTGAGACCTACGAATTGGTCCACGCTCCTTGGCAGGAACAAAACGACACCCATTTCAGAAAACGGAAAAAAATGAGAATTTCGCAGAGAAAGAGAGAGAGGAGACGAACTTGGAGGCGGCGGAAGATTCTTCGTCGAGCCAGATTTTCGGAGTTGCTCGACGGCGCGGCGAAAAATGGCGACGGAGTGCAGAAAGTCGTTTCTCAGAAGAATCGGGGCAAATTCGGAGAGGAACAGACACGATCGGGGCAAAATGGCGACGCACTGTTCGTCTTCCTTTTCTCAGAGGAATCGGGCAAAACTGGTGCGTAAAAGCCCTTGCCGGCCCGGGTCGGGGTAGGCCAGTGTATTTTGGATCTAGATTCTAGACCACTCCGAGTTAATAAGGCGTCTCGCTTGCGAACTAAATAAAAAATAATGAAAAACATTAAAAATAAAATATTTAAAAAATAATAATTATTTAAAATTAATTTAAAAAATAAAATAACTAAATTAAGAATTGTTTTGCCGCGACCGAGAGCGGAAAAAACATATGATTCTCTCTCTCTTATATATATATATATATATATATCAGTCTGTTTATTTTTAAAAAAATAATAAGCTAAATTTTCATAAATGTTGGTTTTTTTTTATAATCTGGAAGTTCACCGGGTCTTTGATCCAACTACATCTCGTAGAGGGCCGGAGAAGCTCAGGTAAATACCCATCCCCACGCTTGGATTTGAATCCAGGGTGAAAGCATGTTTTACATGTTCTCTCACGACTAGATCACCCAATTTTGGGTCATAAATATTGGTTATTTCACTCAGAGATATTTTCTGCCTCTATAATCTTCCCTGGATTTTTTACTCATCCTGTCTTAATATAAATCAAACCCTAAAATCAATGCCTTTGGAATGTCGGCTCTAATGGCTGCTGCCATTGCTAAGATGATACAGACACAAGTTTACAAAGGGCTTGCAGAAGGGAAGAAAGGACAAAACGTACAAACTTAACTACAACACAAAAACACAATCTTTGTTCCTGCGATTTTTCCCACAACCCAACAAGAATCTCAACCCTTTTTATGTTCATGAATTTCTTGGTATTTGTTTTTCCGTGTATATATATATATATGATTTCATCACAAGGGCAAAAGGTATCGGAACTCGTAATGGTGAGGCCGAACCTCAAACACTTTGTCCATTGGAACACTGGTCGTCAGTTTCAGACAATCCATCATAGCTTCCTTGAGCTGCAAGCAACGTTGCAATGGCGGCAACTGGCTGCAAATCCATTCCAACAACGATTTCTCGTCCTCGGTGAAATCCCGAAGACGGGAATGCAGCAGTCGTGGTACCACGATTTTGCGCCTGCTCGTTACCCCGATAGAAGCTTCTAGATACTCCGTTCTTGCTTTGATCAGCTCATTCACCACTTCTTCTGACGTGTAAACCCTAACCTGTGATGACACAAAACGATTATATATTTTTAGGGTTTTTTACCACCGAGAGTAAACTCTCTCTATATATATATATATGAAATATGAACAACATGTTATATTTAATTTGGTGTTTCGGTGGTGAAATTACCAATGATTAAATATGATCATTTGAGATTAGAATATATGTATAATGTATGTCTATGATTTGTATGTATGATATTAATTATAATTATTGGTTACGAGAATTTGACTTACCGCAGGTGAAGACCAATCTCCATGACAAAGCACGAACACCAAGTTGGGTTCTTTGCACATCAGACCATACCGTCTCTCCAGATTTATTTCTTTTTCTCCCACTGCAATCTTTTTTTTAAAATTTATAAAGAAAACAACATTAAAATTTAAAAAAAAATCGAAATTTTAACTCGGGTAAATATATAGTCAGAGGTGGATCCAAATTGAACACAATATATCCCATTATTTACGGTCGATTTATATGAAATATCAGCAGTAATATGGTCTGAATATCAGATTATACTTTTTTTTTTTTATAACCGAGCATCCTGGGCCGAAATCCAGACTAATGTCGGGGCCGGAAGCCAGCTATGTGCTTTGAAATATACGCTCCCTCCCCACTCTGGAATTCGAACTTGGGGCGGGACAAGTGGTTTGCACCCCCATTTCACCAGCTGAACTATCCAGGTTGGATATTCGAGACTATACTTACGGGTTCTTTGTGTTCAAAAGGGTTCTGCAAGATGAGCTGTTCGATTTCTAAGGCGTTGAGTCTTGTCCCTCCCACGTTTATCGTTGCCTGAAACCCAAAGCAAATAAAGGCTTAATCAATCATATGAAAATGATAACTTATCTCGTCTCTCTTTACATTCCAATCAATATATATATTATATACACATTTTTTAACAATAAGTAATATAATATAAACACCACAAAAAAAATATTATCATTTCGAACGTTACAGGAACCATATTCAAAAGCAGGGTTTTGTATATATATCGTCGTTAGGTCTCCTTTGTGTGCCAACTGTACCATTCTGTGCGTGGCAAGTAGTTTCTCCTTTGACGAAGGCAGCCCATGTTCGAGAAAACCCTGCAAAATCGTACGGAAAGCATCTCAGCTTTGCATGTTCTTAGATGCGAATGACGATTATATATAAAACAGTATTTCGATTTGATTTGCTCTGAAATCACGGATGTTCCGTAGTACATTCATGACGCAGGCGTTGTAGCTGTTGATCCAAAACGCCAGCTTTTTCTTGTGGCTCAAGAAACTCGGGTCGACTTTGCTCAGCTTCTCCAAGAAAACCCTAGGAGAGAAAGAACAAATAGAAGACAGGCGTTTTAGGGTTTTTAGATCTTAGAATGAAGTTGAAACAGCGTTTGATTTACCTCAAATTTACGATCGAAGTCGAGCAGTCAGACAAACGGCTGACATCGACGGAGCTTCTTGTGATATGGATGAAGTTCTTGTACTGTCCAATGTCTCTGACAGATGTTCCTGTCACGACTCCGTAAGGATCAAGGTTCGAAGCGTTGTGTTCGTAGACAGATTTCCGTTTGAAAGATGCGCTCTTTAGGTGTAAGAGACTGAGCTTCGAAACCGTATTCGATCCCTCCCTTTCTCGAGATGTGAGGCTCAGTTCAAAGTATATTCCCATCAGGCATTTCACCAGTTCTTCGGATACACTGTTGGGCGAATCTTTCCAGTTCTTCTCCATGGCTTGATCGGCTCTCTTCTCCTTGAGCTCACCTGAGAAAGAGTTTGCAGAAAAGTCAGTAAGCTTTGGACGGAAACCCAGAATCGTTGTCATCTCGATCGATCTTTTTCTGTGCATACCCGAGAAGTTTGACAGCGTAATTCTTGAGAATTCCATGGCTGATCCCATTGAAACAGTACGAGAACTCTTTGTTATAGTTTCCTTCATTACGTTTCCATAACTCTGGGACTTGGATCTGGGTTTTGTATCAGACAATAAGTCCTTGCTTGTGTCGCAAGGTAGGTGGTTCTGTCGTTGCAATCTCTTAGGATGCATCCTATGTTCTTCCTCGGCCTCTTCATCACCGTCTTTCAGCAACGAAGCCATGGATTCACGTTCTTCGGATTCTTTCTTTTCCGTGTATACATCGAGTTTCAGCTCACAGACTCGTTTTTCCAGACAGAGAATCTCTGCCTCCACCGAAGCTAGTTCCTCGATCAGCTCCTGAACCTGCGGAGCTTTCTCACAAAACCCCTAAACTCAGTTCGTTCACCACACATCATATATCATAAGATTTTCGATAAATTGAAAAACCCGAGTTTCGTTTGTTCTTTCTCTTGCCTGAGGAGGAAGAAGCAATAGGGAGAGTCTGGGCTGAGAAAGCACTGGACCACGCATCATCGCACGTAAAGCCTTGTTCAGTGCCTGCTCGTCTTCCAACTCTCCTTGTAGCTTCGTCACCTGCGTTAATTAACGCATAAACGCATTAACTCTAAACCGAAATGGCTTAAGATCAGAATTAATTTAGAAATTATCAAAGTATTTACTTCTTTCTCAAGACTTTTCTTCTTCTTCTTCTTCGCCAGAGCCATCTTCTCGTCTTCATCTGTTCTGTCCACAAATTTCACAGGCTGAAACGAACCAGCATTACAGTATATCGAATTCAAGAATCATTCAGGACCAAAACCAAGTACAAAACCCATGAAAACAAACAGCATCCAGACATTTCCACATGAGACTTGAGTTGTGTTTGAGAGCGGTCGAGCTTACTTCTTGTTGCTGGTGGTGGTGATGATGATGGCCTTGGTCTTCATCATCATCATCATCATCACCATCATCATCGTCATGATGAGTGACTTTGTGTTCCGGGGTTTCTTCTTGGACAAGTAAGTCTTCGAGTCTCATGGAGCCGTTTTGAACAAGCAAGTCTTCGAGCCTCATGGCGAGTATGCTTGTTTTTTAGACGAAGAAGAAACAGAGTTCTTAGAAGCTTTAATGGCGGAGAAGGAAGGGGGGGGGGGTATAGAAATCGTGGATCCCATTAATCGTTTTATTTTGACTGACCTTAATAATAAAAATTAAAACAGAAAACACAAACAAAATTCTATAAAAAAAATATTTATTGAAAAAAAATAAATTTTTTTAATGAAATACAACTTTTGTCGGCAACATTTTTTTTTAGAATTTCGTATCCAAATGAAAAATGTATCAAATTATTGAAAAATAGATTTGTATGTGCATAAAACAATGAATACATAAATAAGATAGTTGATGGCTTTTTTGGGTTTATCCCAAATTAAAGTAAATCAAGTTGTTCTCTTTCTATTAAAATTCCCATCGGTAACTAATTTACTTCATTCATCTTATTTAAAAATAACTTTTGCAAGTGATTGGTTTTTCTTCAATTATTTCCTTTGTTGGTTATGATGAAATTGTAATGACGTGAAGGCCATGAACATGAAGATCTTGTCTAAGATTATTGTATTTTTTAATTCAAAGTTTTTATTTAGTCCGTCTTTTGACCAAAATATGAAATAAAAAGTAAACACAAATCATCGGTATTTTTTGTGTCGATGACGAAATTATTATCCATTTAAATATTCCAAATAAAAAAGAATATATTCATTTGGTGAAACATTATTCGAAGGATGATTGTTATAAGTGCCATGCAGAGAGATCAGTCGTCAAGGACAATTAGGCCTAAGTCTTCGTACATGCTGATAACTTGATCACGGGTGTTGTACATCTGTCCCATTGGATCGTAATAATACTGCACATTATCGATATTACATAATCAATTTTTTTAGTGATCCAAAAAAATAAATGAACTTTTTTCGATTGTAAAAAAAACTAAGTAAAATAATCTGACGTGTTTGCATCTTATTGGGCCACGTCATTCATTTTGTTTATTTTGACAATCGTGGAAGAGTTAAGTGTTTATTTTGTCAAACTTAAAAAGTTTAATATTTATTTGATAAAATAAAAAGTTCAGTATTTTTTTGTCAAAATTGTAAAGTCCAGTGTTTTTTTTGGGATTTTCCCTTTTTTATTTAACACCAAGGATTGTTACATGCATTTGATAACGTTGTTGGAATTCTTGGGATCTCTAGATCGAATCTGATTCCTCAGAGATCAGTTTTAGAGTTAGCGCAGTGGATGTAAAACAAAAATTTTATGAAAAACCCTAAAATCTAGTATGCATGATTTTGTAGAAACGTTAGAACGTTTACCTCAATCGATCCGGAGACTATATCAATCGATATATGTATTCATCCGATCACATAAGACAGGAAGGTTGCCTCGCCCTCTACACGTATCCACACGACGAAAAGGATTACAACGGTTGGAACTTGTCTGTTAGGACTAAAGAACACTATTTTCTTTGCGTAAAGGTTTTGGGATCTTACTCTGGGTTTTTCGATCTCAAAACTCTGAGGAATAGAGCTTTAACTCTTAGTAGGCGTTCCCAAAGCATTAGTTCACCCAAAACCCTAATTAGAGTAGGATAAATAATTCCCAACGCCTGGACCGATCGGTCCAGAAGTACCGGGAATTTCTCGTCTTTTCTCACGCGTTTTTCCTTTCCTATGTGTGTGTTCTGATATAGCAATATAACCCGAAATCTCCATTTCAGTTATACAAGCCATAGGCAGTCTCTAGCAAGACACTATGACTACCTATCTCGATTAGAGTTTGTTCGTGATCTTACGAACGCCAGTGATAATTCCGGCTGATGATCCTTTTGCATCACGATATCATATATCGAACATAAGGCATGGACAAACCACTTGTCTGATTCGACTGATTTCTCGTTCATTGAGTTCGACTGTACGAAATAGACGACGTTCGTCTATAGTGTGGCCACACATTTCTACAGTCTCGCTCACACGAGGGGTCCATTGATATCTCTCTCTTTTATGAGAGGTACAAATCTCATCTTGACGATCTACAATCCAGCACATGATTCGTGTCGTACTTGATACACGCCTTTATAGTCCTCCTGTTACGCAGGACGTTTGACGTGTTCAAAGTACGCAACTCCTCATGTCATAGGATCCAATCATGGAACTGTCATATGAGATTCTAGTCATGACGCTAGTCCATGTGACAATCGCATGTGGGTCAATCCAATATTTCGTTCACCACGAATACCTATGATTGTGATCGTATCCAATACGTATGATCATCTCTATGATCATCTATCACACATCGTACTACTCTTAGTACATCATTATTCCCACAATGATATATGAATAGGGATTTTAGTATTGTTCATAATAATACATGGATTTCATAACATATTAAAGTATGCAAACATGTAATCAATCAAACACTCATCCATAAAACTATAATAAGTGTCAATACATCAAATGTGTCATAATAAAGCTCATACAACAGTTCATCATAGAGCGTTAAACCAACAATCTCCCACTAGCTCTACTCATGGACTGCTAAACATCTAATGCCCATATCCCTAACATGACCCTCACGCTTCGACGAAGGGAGAGATTTCGTCAACGGATCGACAATGTTGTCATCTGTTGAAACTCTGCATATGTGCATGTCTCCTCTGTTTATGATCTCCCTGAATAATCCGCGGAAAAGCCATCCGTATCGGCGGTGGCCGTTGTCGAAAACCGCAACGCTAATGCCGGGCCGAGAATTAAGCATCATCCCCCTCCTCCGAATCACTCTCATCAATGTCTCGTACCCTTCTCTTGTTAGGTTCCTCTCACTCTCCGTATAATCCACTTCCATCACCCCCTCCTGCCGCCGGATCCATCCGCCAAAGCTACGGCCCCGGCCCCGGCCCCGACCACGTCCACGACCGCGTCCACGGCCACCACGGTGGCTTTCTTGGTCGGCGTCCATACACCACTCTCTCTTCGGTGTCAATTCGTGATGGTTTGATGAGTTTTTTTTTTGGCTTCTCGTCACATTTATTTGTGAGCTGTTTGCGCGATAGTGCGAGCATTTTTAATTTTTATTTTTTCACTTTCCCCGTATTTTTTTGGTTTTTATGATTTTGGAGTGTACGTGGAAAATTAGGTGTTTAAAAGAAAAAAAGAAGTTTGTTTTCGATTTATAATATTATATATATATATATATACGAAATTATTTATAAAATTGTGAAGCAATGGAGAAAGTAAAAGAAGCAATTAAAATGCTGCATGCATTTTTATGTATGTACCAATGCTCGTTATCCATAAAATTACGTTTTAATTATATTTTTTTCCGTTGTCATATTATTTATTTGTAGATAAATTGGTGTAACCATAGAAAATTATAACTAACAACGTTCGGAAATTTCATATTTAGTATTTATTTTAAGTCAAATAAATTATTTAGATAGATTTATAAAATGTAAGGGCGTCTTCATCAGATAATTTATTGATGCATCATTAATTTCCGATAACTCGAGAGGAACTAATTAGTTGACTATTTCAATCACATGGGCACAAATATTGATACGTTTAAATAACAGGGTCGCTTTAAAATACATAAAGAATACAAGGGTCCAAAAAATAATAACGTTAAAGTTGCAAACATTTCAAACTTATATTAGATATTTGCCAAAATTGGACAGAACTATATTTACTTTTATGGATAAAAAAAAAATCCAAATGGATTTTCGTTGTCTACATGAGAGATTTTCCATTACTTTAATTAATTACACATTTTAAGACGATAAGATCTTCTCTTGTAGGCACATTATTTTTATAATATTTATACATCATATTTCTATTTTGACTTTTTAATATATAAAAATATATATAATACTAAATGACTGAAATTTTAAATTTAATATTTATGGAGTTTTTGTACTATACTGGTGAAATATTGCTTAAAGGTTAAGCAATTTTTTTTTTTAATTTGAAAAGTTAGTAAAGCCAGACTTAATATTTTGTAATTTTTATTAAAAAAAGGTTCTTCGGACTTTTAATTTTTATCCACATTTTCTCATATCAATATATCATCTTAAACTATGGTTTGGAGAAAAGGGGAATGTTATAAACAAATTTTACTAGCTTCTGGCAAAATTTGAGGAAAAAATACATCAAATAGTTCTATTTTAAAATCATGATTTTCTAGGATTTCTAGTCTTGATATACATCCAAATGAATCTTGATATATATCTTCTTTCTTTCTACTTTTCATCTATTATGGAGAGTTCAATAAAAAAAAGAGAATGGGAAAGTGTAAAAAAATAAAATACGGAAACAAAATAAGATAAATATAAAAAAAATTATTTTTATTACTACATCTCTTCTTCTTTTTATATTACAATAAAACTGAATACATATTTATAAAAAAATTAACAAATAAAGTAAAAATGAAATATATATAATAGAAACAAATATGATAGACAATATTTAACATAATATTATGCTCATTATTATTTTTAATAATATCTCAAAATCTATTTTTTTCTTCAATCACATATTCATTTTCATATTTCAACATTTCTCCCAAGATTGATTTTGAAAGAATGCAAAAATCAATCTTGAAAAGATAATACGATAAAAACCTCATATATTTTCATTGTTTTTGAAAAAAGAATCATAAACACCAATTTGTTCTTTTAGATTGTATTAACCATTTTCAAATCACTTCATTTGATTTTAAAGTTCTAACTTTAACTCTTTTTGTCATACCATCTTGTTTATCTTAGAATTTTAGCTCTGACTTCTTTTTGTCATGGCACATCGTTTGAACTTGGATTTTTATTCATTTTTGAATGATTTGGACAAAACGCAAAAGAAAGAATAGACTGAAAAATAAAAAAAGATATAGAATAAATCAAACCATATTCTGATACCACATAGAAAATAAAATACGAAAACAAAATAAGACAAATATAAAAAGAACAAAATAACTTTTATTACTATATCTCTGATTCTTCTTATATTACAATAAAACTGAATCATATATTTATAGGAAGATTAATAAATGAAATAAAAAAATATGAGAAAATGATATTTTTCATCACAAATTTAGCAAAATGTAATATTTTTATACACATATTTTTAATTTGACAAAAAACTACATTTGAATTCAAAATTTTCTAAAGGGAAAATCGTCAAAAAAACCTATACTCTTCTCAAGTCAACGAAAAAATCCTGTACTTTTTTGCTTACCAATTAAACCCTATACTTGGTGTGATTAACCAATAAAATCCAAATTTTTTTAAAAATTCGCCGAAAATCCTCTGCGTCTGCTAACTCAAACAAAAATAATGATGTGGCAATAACATGGCTTCCAAATCAGCACACATCATCATAATTATATCATATCATCATTTCAAATAAATTTTTTAAATTAAATAATTTATTTAAAGTAATATATATACATTTAAATTCACATATACATACATATATATATATATGTATATATTAAATATAAAATTATTTATAACTAATAAAACACATATACATATCTATAATATATATATATATATATTATAAATTATATTATAAAATGTAACAAGATTGAATTCATCATAAATAATTTATTTTGAGGGAACATACAGAAATATATTATTCCTACAATATTATCATTAATATTGCTATGATTTATCCTACATATTATACATAAAATATTCTATTGTATCATTCGATCATCAATAATAGAAAAATATTTCCAATAATTCACGTGTTATATTTACAGTGAGAAAGGATGTTCACTTGCTACATATATATCACCGGATCTGCGTCCTGCCTAGCGACCAGAGACCTGTGTCTTTCACCGGTGTCTGAAAACACAAAAGTTCATCAAGAGACAGATTCATCACGTGAGCCTGAGCCGGACAATTACGGTCGGAAAGATTCTCGAAACTGAAGGAAAAGAACGCAGACCTGAGCTTTCACAGACGGGAAGACGTTCCAAAAGCGTAGCGTCTCATCCCCTGCTCCTGTCACTATAGTCTGTTTGTTCAAGAAAAACAAGACCGAGTTAAAGCTAATGTAAAAAAATGCAGATAAGAGAGGAAACGAATAGAAGAGAGGATTGTGGAACCTGGCCATCGGGCGACACTGCGAGATAAAGTACCCTCATACAGTGCCCGGTCAGGGTCGCAACCTAGCAGGGAGGAGGGGGGCCAAGAGAGATGAGACTGATGATATTAGTTGTATATGTGTATATTATATGTATAACTAATATATATACATATAAATATTATTTTTAATAGATATATTATATGTGTAGATGTTAGTTATAATTACTTTTATTTTAATATGTATATGTTGTATGTATAACTAATATATATACATATTATTTTTAATATGTATTATATGTATATATGTTAGTTATAATTATTTTTATTTTAATATATATATGTATTAGTTATAATATACATATATATTGTAGTTATGTGTATATGTATTTTATTAATTATAAATAATTTTATTTTTAATCTATATATATATATATATATAAATTTATATGTATATATATTAATTTAAATTTAATTTAAATTTTATTTAAAATGATGATATGGCATAATTATGATGATGTGTACATGACTTGGAAGCCATGTCATTGTCACATCATCATTTTTGTTTGAGTTGGCAGACGCGGGGGTTTTCGACGAATTTTTAAAAAGTTCAGAGTTTTATTGGTTAATCACACCAAGTATCGGATTTAATTGGTAAGCAAAAAAGTATAGGGTTTTTTTGTTGATCTGGAAAAAATACAGGGTTTTTTGGCGATTTATCCTTTCCTAAATATCTATATGAATTGTTAAAATAACAATAATTACATATATAATCATTATTTTCGTTAAAATTTTTCGGATTCTATTAACTAATACATTAGTTAGGTAATTGTTGTAACTACTATACACGTCGGTGCATTAGCTAGCAGAATCCGAAAATTTTAATGAAAATGATGATTATGTATGTAATTACTATTAATTTTAACAATTCGTGTAGATATTTGAGAAATTTTGAATTCAAATGTAATTTTTTGTCAAATTAAAAATATATGTATGAAAATCTCACATTTTGTTAAATTCGTGTAGAAAAATATTGTGTATGATATACAATATTTAACATAATATTATGCTTATTATTATTTTTAATAATATCTCAAAATCTATATTTTCCTCCAACCACATATTCATTTTCCTATTTTAAATAGAAAGAAGAGAAAGAATACAGATTTAAAAGGCTGAATTTATAGAAATATATTATTCTTAAAATATTATCATTAATATTGTTATGATTTATCCTACATATTATACATAGAATATTTTATTGTATTTTACTATGTATTAGGGTATAATCTTTCAATCATCAATAGTAGAAAAACATTTCTCTATTATGATATCAGACCTTTGACTTTTGTTCTAGATTTTTTTCTCATCAACAATGTTGGTCGAATTCGAAAGAGACGACGAAGATGATGATAATATACTAAAACCAATAGTATCATCGCCTAATCGTCTTGTCTTTCCTTTGCTTTTTTTCCTCTAGTCTTTGTTTTTCCCCGACGGTTGTGATAATCACAGTCAACCTTACCCAATGTGTTATTTTTTTTATCCCCGACGATGTTTGTTTATCGACACCAATCCTTGTCGTTGTGAGATCTTTAAATCTAGCTTTTAGCCCTTTTGATTAGAAAACTCCAATCATCGATCCACATATTGCGTCATTTTTTTTCTTATCTCCTGTTCTGCTGCTAAATTTCCACGCATTATACGTCACCGCTATATACACCGCAATTTTTTGCGCTGCCGACCTCATTGTCGTATCGCATTTTTGTGCCACATCTGAGATACAACTCTCAAGGTCTTTAAACATTATCAAGCGTACAATACCGACTCAAGTTCAAACCACAACTCAAGTTCGAACCACAACATCACGTGAAAGATGTTTTGTTTAATACGATCACAATTTCAATTTTCAGTTTTTATGTAACAAGATTGAATTCATCATAAATAATTTATTTTGAGGGAACATACAGAAATATATTATTCCTACAATATTATCATTAATATTGCTATGATTTATCCTACATATTATACATAAAATATTCTATTGTATCATTCGATCATCAATAATAGAAAAATATTTCCAATAATTCACGTGTTATATTTACAGTGAGAAAGGATGTTCACTTGCTACATATATATCACCGGATCTGCGTCCTGCCTAGCGACCAGAGACCTGTGTCTTTCACCGGTGTCTGAAAACACAAAAGTTCATCAAGAGACAGATTCATCACGTGAGCCTGAGCCGGACAATTACGGTCGGAAAGATTCTCGAAACTGAAGGAAAAGAACGCAGACCTGAGCTTTCACAGACGGGAAGACGTTCCAAAAGCGTAGCGTCTCATCCCCTGCTCCTGTCACTATAGTCTGTTTGTTCAAGAAAAACAAGACCGAGTTAAAGCTAATGTAAAAAAATGCAGATAAGAGAGGAAACGAATAGAAGAGAGGATTGTGGAACCTGGCCATCGGGCGACACTGCGAGATAAAGTACCCTCATACAGTGCCCGGTCAGGGTCGCAACCTAGCAGGGAGGAGGGGGGCCAAGAGAGATGAGACTGATGAAGCACCAGATTCAAGTAAAAAGAACTGAAGATTTGAAAGCTTGTACCTTTGCCATGGATGGATACTTCCACAGCATGATTTGGTTCTGAGAATACCCGTGAGTGCTCACGATCTCATTCACGTTCTTGCTCCACGCCAGATTGCAGACCTGTCCCGAGACAAAAGCTTCAGACATAAACCCCCCGAGGCATATACCATTGAAACAACCTAAAAAAGCCGGTGTCTTTATTACCTGGCTACCAGTGTCAATGCTGTTCAACTGATGTCCATTGGTTGTGTTCCAGAATCTGATGCACCTATCCGCGGTTCCACCTCCAGATGCAAGGAGGTTGCTTTGATGAGGGGACCAAGTGATGGCCTTAACCGCCGCTGTGTGTTCGGTCAGTTTCAAAACTGGTTGCTGAGAATGATTGTTCCACACCAGCAGCTGTTTCGAAACATTCAAGTACATCAGAAACACAGACACTTTGGACCGTGATTTGGTCTTAGCGATTGATCAATCATCAGAAAGACCGGAACTTTGGACCCGTTTCGATTGATCAATCATCAGAAAGACGCAAACTTTAGACCCGTGATTTGATGGCAGCCATTGATCGAATACCTGATTGTCATTCCCGCCGGATGCGAGCTCTCTATCGTCGTGAGACCATTTCAGCCCGCAAACCTCGGACTTGTGACCCACGAGCTTGCTGATATAGTCGCTCTGAACTCGGATGTCATGTTGAAGAATGTTTCGGTCTCGGCTCCCTGACGATAAGATCCTTGAGTTCCAAGCCAAGACACCTGTTCTTGTCTGGTGTCCTCCCATTGTCCGAACTCTCTTACATTGTGTTCCATCCCAAACCTAATAAAACAGCAGAGAATCTTCAATAACTATCTCATACATCGAAGAACAACCTCAAAGATGGAGATGAGAAGATGCGTAATACCTGAACTTGGCCAAGACTCGTACCGATCGACATATAGGAACCTTCTCTTGTCCATTGAACCGAGCAAACGCTATCGTTAGGACCCAAGTCACATAACTTTGTAACCTGACAAACAATTCATTTGGTTTCTTCAGCAAAACTGATACAAACAAGACATTGTCTGAATCTGGTAAATGTAAGTGTCTCTTTAAGACACATACTTTGCTGTTAGAAGCGGTCCAAAGATATACACAAGTTCCAAGCCCAACGGCCAGAACGTTCTGCGAGCTCCAGTCCACGAGGTTCAGGTAGAAATCATCCTGAAGCGATGGCGCGTCCAAGACCTGAAAACTCATCAAAGTAATCTCTCATATTCACTTCAAAAAGCCGAAATCTAGAACAACCCCTCGGCATATTTCAGGCTCCACTAATGGCTAATTGCTAAGAATCGAGGATCTTTCAAGATTTCTCAGATTTCGTGTGAAGAACACGGCAAGTAATACAACCAGATCAACACGTTACACTAAGCATCAAAGATTGATCCACTTCCCGATCTGAATCTTGCTTACCTTGTGAGGCGTTTTAGGAACTTTTCGGGAGGGTTTAGGAGGGGGAGACGCCTCGGAGGAGAAGCCATTATTGTTGCCGAGAATGGAAGGCGAAAATGGGGAATTAGGACTGGAATTGGAGTGATCTGTCTTGAACCGGAACATGTTCGTGCTCGGACTCATGGGGGAACCGACAGATCCCTGACAACCTGCAGGAGACAAACAAGAAGAACCGAAGTCAGGTCCAAAAAGCTCGGATTTCAACAACCTTGAATAGGCTTCGTTGCCTCCCTCTTTCGCCGGAGACGCCTTTTCCGTCAGCCCGAAGGCGTGGAACCTAGACGAGGATCTACAGGGTATGAATCGGTCGCTGCAGGTAGATTTCGAAGGTGAAGACAAAGTCGAGATCCCTCGGAACGAGCTCGAGAATGTCTCGAGCCGAAGGGAGGCCTGGTTCATCCCCGACGGCAGATTCAGGCCCGATTTCTTCTCCTGCGGCGATTCCATTTCCTGGGTTTCGATCGAAATCTTCGACGGAATTGTGATTTGCGTTCGTCGGAGAGAAAAGATCGATGAAACTCTTCTCCTGAGCGCTCCTTTTTCCTTCTTTTGAAAAAGGGGAGCTTCTCCAACGGTCAAATTATTTTCTCGGTGTAAGGGTAAATATAGGAGCTGGATGCGAGTATATATATATACATATTATTTAAATACACATTTGTATGGTTTTACTGTATGTATGTATGTATGTATGTATGTGCATGTTATATGAATAAGAATCTTACATATTTGGTACTTTGTTGCAACGGTCAAATTCTTTTAATGGTTGCAAACTTACCATATGGAAACGAGCCATAATTAAAATTTAAAAAATCAAGATATCTGAAAAAAATATACAAGATTGTAGATATTAATTCCAATTCCACATTCGTCACAATATCAAGATATGGATCTTTGAAAATACAGATGGAAAAATAAGCATATAAAAATCAACGTATTAAAATAAATAAGACACATAATTGGCAAAATAGCCGTTTCTTGGACCAGCTTTTCTGAAATTAGATTCGGTAATCGGAATGGGAAATCATAAATAAAAAAATACCCAAACTTTATGTTTTTTTTTAGTATTTTGGTATCCCGAACTTTTAAATTTTCATCTTAGTATCAATTTTTATATATTTCGGGTTTGCATCATTGAAACTTGAAAAAAATACCAAACCAACGATGACTTCTAATGGATAACAAAAAAAAACATTTGTTTTGTCAATTCGACAGTATACAATATCTTTGAAATATATAGGTGCTAAAATAATGAGATTATTTAATAAGAACTGTATTAAGATATGGATTCTGAATACAGATATTAAAATAAAATGTTATAAATAAATAAATAAATATACAAAATTAAATTTATTTCGGCAGTTTCCCGGTTGTATTTGTACAATAATTTCTGTAAGAGCCCAAAAATACAGATTTTATTCCATTAATGGTATAAAGTTGAGTTTTTTTTCCCTATTCTAATTACCAAATTGCCAAAACCATGATGTGTGTAAACTTGTCCAAAAACAGACACAAACACGCAAAATCAAACACAACTGTTCACAAGCTATCTTAATGAACAGAACAGATGATAATAACATTGTAATGCTTGCAAGATAGCTAATAAAATTTTACAAAAAAGAAAAGATAGTTAATAAAAGTGCACATAAATTACCTAAAAGACGAGATTCTATCAAAAGAGAATCACAGAGAGTATCTGATTTGGTATCTTCTAAGCCAATCCTCACCTTTCTCATAGTAATCCGTCTTACTGAAGCATTGCCGCAAGAAGTTCAAATCAGAAGCATAAGCAGACGCTCCACGCCAAGCATCAAGGACGGGATCCATGGCTCGAACCACTTGTATCTGCGACCCGCACGGTCTTATCATCCGAATCCCCGTCTCCAACCGCTCCTTCATCCCGGGAATCAGACACGACCCACCTGTCATGAGGACAGAACTCGCTAGTCTCTCGTCTATGCCTTCGCCCTCCTCATCGTGTCTTGGCGGCAGCCTCCTTATCGAGACACCTGCCATCTCGTCCAAGCCCACTTGCTCGATTCCCACCAGGTTTGGATGGAATAGGATCTCGGGGCAACGGAATCTCTCCACGCCTATTACGATCTTGAAGTCTTCTTCTGTCAGAGGACGAAAACGGGGTGCCTCAGTGGATGCTTGAGTAGTGGAATCTGCTTCTTCCTTCGGAACAAATGTCGGGTCGATTTCCCGAAGCCTGTAGGATAACCGGGCCAGCTCCGCCTCATCAGCATCCGGCCCTTCATCGTCGTCGTCGTTATCTTTGCTCATCAGCTTGTAGAGTTGCCAATCTTCGTCTCTGGCACCGAAAGTATCCTCTCCCTTCCCTCTATCAAATGCAGCCGTCGTCAAAAGTCGCATTCTTTCCCTCTGTGCAGCACTTAACCGCTCCCCACGCCCAACACCGCCCGACTTGTTATTTCCGTTTGTATTGGACCCGTTTGTTTTGAGCCGTTTCTTTTGCTCTACTCTTTCGAAAACCTCTTTGTACTGAACCCGCATCTCTTCTAAGTATAGCTCGGGATTCCCGCTATAACCAAATGTAAAGGGGAAAAAAACAGTTCATATGATTCAGAAGTAGCAGGAAACAGACAATAACTGTATACAGAATCTACTGAAAGGTATGGCAGAGTGCACAATGCAGAAGCAACGATGAATATACTCGTTTAACTGTAAACCAAACTTGACGATAAAACTTATAAAAATAGTAAGGTGAATGTTTTATTGTTTACTCACCGGCGTTTTGCCTCTTCTAATTGATTTCTTCTTTCTCTTTCGAGTTCCTCCTCGTTACGCTTTTGTTTAGCTCGCAGCCGACCCTCCATTGTTGTTTTAAGAAATACCTGCCTCCTCTTGTCCTTGAGCTGCAAATAATGCCATAGCCAAGTGGAAATGTCATCATGGTGTGCATGGAAATTCATGAAATTATATAAGATATTGACTTTAACGACTGTGAGGACGTTTTTTTAGCTGTTTCTGGGAGAGAGGAAAAAAACCTGCTCAGGTGTAAGCATATCGTCGGGAACATTTATGAGAGGGAACTTCTCGGTAAAAGAATCGGTTTTATCTTCATTCTCAGTTGGGTCATTTTTCGGCTCGCCCCTTGCTTTTTGTAGAGACTGTGTCACTTTCAAAAGGGTAGATTCTATCTCTTGCCTGGACGCATAACCAGTGTCTGACAAAAAAGATGGAATGTCATCCTCTTCAACCTGATCCAGTTGCTTCAGAAGGAATTGCAGGCTGTGTAGTTGGTTCTTCAGTTCATTTATCCTCGACAATCTCTTTGTTTCAGCCATTTCTCGCAACCTTTGACCTTGTTTCTCCCTTATAGCAGCCTTTCTCGCGATCTCTTCTTCTGATGGAGGAGCTTCTGTGGGAGGAGGAACCCATGGAAGCTGCCAACACCTGGTTTTCTCCTCGGCTTCCTTCTTCCCTTCCTAGTCAACAACCATGCAATTTTAGTTTAACGATTTTACAGACCGAGAAAAGAGGCAAGAGAAAAAGGCTCTTCAAATTACCTGGAATAGCCGAGCTTCAGAAGCATAATCAGGAGCAATATAACAGTGTTCCATTTTCAAATCTTCGGCCTTCTCCCATGTAAACCTAGACCTGTAGTAAAGCTCGAAGGACAAGGAAAATAATAAAATATAAAACATAAGAAATTTTTCGAAAAGAAAATGAAAAAAAGGACCTTGTCAAGAAACACTCACGAATGGTAAGGGTATTTAAGTGAAAGAAGCTGCTTTAAATAATCAGTGACATGGTATCCACCAATATTGGTCCGGCAGGATCCTCTGAAAATCGGTTCTCCGTCAACGAACTGATAACCAAGGAAACCGTGTACTAGCTTAGTGACGCAATTAAGCATAAGCTAATAATATCGACTGGACATTTTCAGTAGAGAAATTGATGAAGCTTCAGAATTCTTAACATTATGCAAACAAGCTTGAATATGGTGTATTCATAACAATGTACCGGAATAGCATGTGTTGTGGTGAAGCCAGGACAGAGAGCAATGCCGTCTTTCTTACAAACTCCATGCAGTTGATTGTACTTGTAACTGAAAGCAGCATCAACTCCAAATGCTGTAATAACACAAGAGAAAAAATTAAAGCAGAAAGCAGTAAAATAATAAGTATCGTAAACATTATCTTAAACCTGTTTTCAGTAAGTTGATCTAATGAAAAACACATCAGCCTTTTTAGCATTTATCCAAAAGATATCGGAGACATACCAACTGAAGGAACCCCATATGTCTCAAAAAGCAGTTCTGCCATTTTGCTGCGTGAATGAACTGGGTTGCACACACATTCCGTTATTAGGACAGGATGATTGATCTGTCCTGCCCTCGAATGCCGATAAATCAAGAAGCGATCTTATGTATAAAGAGAAAACAGAAAATTTGGAATAAAGAAAGAGAACAAGATCCATGGCATACCCCTGAGCCATCAGCACCCAACCGATCAAAGCCGAAGTCGAGAACCTAGAAAGAACAAAGAAAATATGGTAAACAAATGTTCACAGCTTCTTTATCAAAGGTTTAACATAGAGAAAGTTGAATAGAAAATGAAAAACATTTTTGTCAGGTATTTGATTCAATAATGTAATCTAAGTGATCAAAGCAGAAAGAAACCCGTCGAAGAACCTCACAGAATATATATAACAACTTGGGATAAGAGACAACAGAGATTGAAGCCAAAACAAAGAAAATATGAAAAGCAATTAACAGGATGCAGACATGGTAGGAGCAATAAATTCATGGACACAAGAGACATAGATATTCCAAGATTCAAACGGTAAGAATGATTTGAGGGTTCGAGGATTCATTCGTACATATTCCATGATCTCAAATTGATAAACCACGTTGCTGTCAAAAGCTGAACGAGGTCCTGAGCGAGTGCAGTCAAAATACTTCATCAGGGAAGGATCTTGGTCACCGACAATAGTAACGGTTTCGCCTGCAAGAAGAAAAGATGAAAAAAGAATACAGTTATAACTGGAGACACACATACAATACAAGCAAGACAACCCATCAAAATACTCCAACTAAAAAAATTGCTCCTTTACAAGGCTCGTCACAGTCGAAACCTCGCGGATAAGACAAGACATGTTGGTACATCCACAACGAAGATTTTCTGGGACAGAAGTGTCGACAGACAACATAAATATCACTACTCAGAAACAGAACAAATTGGAAGCTAACATTAGATTCCTTCGTAGCTCTAGAAACTAAGTGACAGAATTCAGAATTTTGCTCTAACTCCTACCATACCACCAAGAGAGCAGTAAAGAGAAATCCATGTGCAAATATACACCGATACGGAAATACACCAACACAAATGAACATGGAAACGTATTAAGAACCATTACCAGTGGCTTTGTGGCGAGGTCTCTGCACGATGTTGCGGAAAATAACACGAGGGTCAGTCTCTCCTGCCCACCTGAAACCAAACATCCATAGGAACTTCAAAATTGACGCCGTTTTTCTCGAACACAAGCGAGATCAATTGGAGTAAAGAGGAATTAGGGTTTATGATTAGGGCACCCAATTCGGAAGTAATTGGCGCCATTGTCGATTACGATGGGAATCGAAGACGAAAAGATATTGTAATCAGATTGTCTACGTATTCTTGACACGAAAGGCATTCTTCTTCTTCTTCTTCTTCTTCTCCTCCTCCTCCCCCTTCGTCGTCACTGTTTTCTGCTCCCTCGTCTTCGTCAGTCTGTTGCAGCAGCCTCGAGCTTCAGAGAAATAGACAGAACCGGAAAGGTCGGAGCGATTCTTCAAGGGACAAAACCCAAAAGCCCAGTGAGAAGCCCATAGCATAAATAGACCAAGATTTCTGACAATTTACATGTGTGCCATTCCACCTTAATTTTTTTCAATCGTGTAAATTGTTGTTTCCTTGTTCCCATCTTAATTTAAACGGAATCAAACAGATAAATACCCAACCATATGTCCTCCTGATTAAAAATTATAAATATCTTACTAATCAAATCACTTGATAAGGTTATTGTAATTCTCTTTGTTTCACTTTCACTATTCTTCTTATCTTACTATTACTGATTTACCTCTAACTATAAACCCTAAACTACAGATTCTAATTCATAAATCAATCCTAAAATTTAAAATTCTAAACTCTAAATTCTAATATGGCTTAGTTAGTTTATGGTAAAGAAGGGATTAAGAATTTATGGTTTAAGATTGATATAAGAATTAGGGTTTAGAAATTAAAATTGGGTATTGAAATCTAGGGCTTTGAATTTAATGTCTAGTGTTTAGGATTGGTCGTAAATTATAAGTAATCAAATACGCGTAGTGAAAAAGAAGAAAAAATCAAAGCTGGCATATTGGTCCAACAACTTAAAGAGAGGATCCGCAGTTCATCTTACAGAGCAAACAACACTATATTAAGGTTTATTAAAGGAGATGCACCATATGGATGTAGAGAGAGTTCAAGAGTGGTCTTGCTCCATGTGGTTGAGATGGAGAGCGCCCTCATGGTTCTTGTGGACTTCCACTTTGTATTTTTCCTCTTTCTCCCCTCTCTTCACTTTCAGAAGCATATCGAATTTCGCAGCCCCCTCTGTCACCTGCACACAGATTTGTCACCCACATTCCACCAGTTATCGCTGCTAAGCTGAAATCTTGAATCCAGAACCACTTAACACTCACTCACTTTCATTTGCTGTCTTAAACCAAACTTGGAAACTCTATTGAACATATTCAAAGGCATGAAACGACGGAGTGATTATCAATAGTGGATTTGTTGGACAAAGATGTTAGGTGTTTCAGGTTGGCAACAAGTATTGCGAAACAGTAACTCGTACCTCAGCATTAGCGTGCACGACCTCTTGAAGCTCGTAAGGGAATAAAGAGTTAGATCTCTGTTGGATGGTCTTGATAGCGTGATCAGCAACATGCTGCACTTCGGGATCGTGCACTGGGACTGCCCTCCATCCAGATTCATGCCCATCTGATCAAAACCCATTTCCTGATTCAGTCCCTTTTTTTCCTCTAACCCACTACAATTTCTATGTTCGGAATCATATATATGTATCCCGACACTATCAATTTGTCCCAATGTGGTCATCGGCTACTACCCTGAGTCCCACGAGAAGGACATTCACACACACAGACGAATACGTATATCTGTAGTCACCTTTCTTTACGCCAAGATCTGACGAAGTGATCGAAGGGGAATCACCGGCATGCTTGAACTCCTGCAACTCCTTGAAGTTCATCCATGGCTTCACCCAAACTTTAGCTTCGTAAAGCTTCTTCTTACCAGCCTCAATGACCTCCAGAGTCAGATGGTGCAGAGTTCCTGCAACCACCTGTTCTTTCGCTTTCACCACCCTCGCAAACTCTAGCAGGGCATTCTGCAGGAGACAAAAGAAAGGGAAAAAAAAAGAGAGCACCAAAACCATTATCATCACCCCCATCATCATAATCACCATACCAAAATCTACGCCTCTCAGGACCACAAACAAACATATCAACGCCTTTAACAATCAAGCCATGGAATCGAAACCCTAATGAACCGATACCTAAAACACAATCCAAGGAAAACACCATTTTACCGAGAGATCGAGAGAAGATAGTCGGATAAATTACACTAATTAGCTATTCAGATCCAGTAACCAACCAAAACACATAGAATCGAAAGATAAACTGAGAAAACGGAACCTCCTTCTTGTTGTGCTCATCGACAGCGAAACGAGCGAGGCTCTCGACCTCGCTACTGTTCTGGCTACCGGAAGAATCACGAACGCCTCCGAGAGTGGCCATGTCGTCGCTGTTGCAGAAAAAAAAACCCTAAAACCACCGGCGATTGCAAAAGAACGGAGAAAATGATGATGGAGAGAAGGGGAAAAGACGATCAGAAAAGTGGGAGTTGAAGAAACGAATTCTCATTCAGACTACAGGTTTATAAGAGAATAAAGTTGCGGTTTATTTTTGGCCCTACGGATGATGGCGTTCGTGGTAAGCGTCACAGGACGACACGTCAGAAGTCACGTGTCTGTCATGTCAATCTATTCTATGCATCACATATATGTATATTACGTATAAATATATTACATAAGTATCTGTAATTCAGATAATAACAGAATAAATTAATATTATAAATATATTATAAATTAAATTAAGATATATTAGTAAAGTTTTAAATCGGTAGATAGATTAAAAATAAAAAGTTGATTTAGATTAATAAATACTAATGTTTGAAATATCTGTATTTAATTTTAGATGTTGTTTTTTACTTATTCTCAAGCAAGGGTTTTCTATTTGCGTTTCTGCAATCGTTTCGATTTTGGTCTGCTATTCTGAACCCAACAGCGTGGGCGAGTGGTTGAGGTGTGGATCAACATGCCTTCACGTCAGCGGTTCGATTCTTGATGATGGGGAGGGGTATTTACATCGGGTCGAAGGTCTGGTGAACTTTCGGATTAACAAAAAAAAAAGTACCAGAATTTTTCTTTGTTTTTTTTTTATAACTTTGGGTGATTTTATTATGGCTAAATCTTCCTTTTTGGATTATATAAATTGTATTTCCAAAAATCACAAAGTCTATGTCACGTCACAGTGTACGGGATTTCAAAATAAATAAGGTAATTAAAAAATGATGATCCGACCTGCCGGATTCGAACCAGCGACCTAAGGATTTTACTGCTTCACACTACAGTCCTCCGCTCTACCAACTGAGCTAAGGTCGGCTACAACTTCAGTGGACAAAGCTTTACATTTCGTAAAATCATTTGTTTGATTTAAAAATGCCTTTTATTTTTTTTATATTTGGTTTGGTTTTGGAGAACCATATTATTAAATTCGATTTAGATACATTAATATATTATTGAACTAACCATATTACTGGCGACCTCTTTTTCTGAATATAGTTTATATTGTAATGGGGGAAGACACAATGATGTGCCCCATATTAACATTACAAGATCATTCGTTAATGAAAGTTTGTTTTTAGCCTCTTTTGTTTTGGGCGTATTTATACATAAAAAAATTGATGGATTATACCTTTTTTCTGAATTTCCAAGGTTGGTACTGTGATCCCACTAACTAAATCGACATCTGTCTCTGTTCACGCCAACTGTATAAAAGCTAACGCAGACCATACTATAATGTGAGATTATGATATGATAATGATGCCCTTTGCAAGATCTGTTTAGATATAAATGGACCGTTGACTAATTAATCTATGATATTTTTTTATTTGGTGTAATGAGATTTAGGAAACTGTTTCCACACACTACACATTTCAATTTATTTTAAAATAAATCTGTCAAGTTTTTTTTTTTTAAAAAAAAATGTATGCATGTGAAGTTTACCAGTTCTATCAGCTCGTACGACTATTCATTATTCCCAGGTAAGAAGACCTTTTTTTTCGGTTAGAGGGTTCTTCTCCGAGTTTCTGAAAAAACACCAAATCGCAGGAGGCAGAAACCGGAGAAATCCAACGGCTCAGATTTCTCGTCTTCGTCGTATATAATAATATCTCCAGGCCACAAAAGTACCATTTCGATTTCTAGTTGTTGTCGAAGCTGAATCCTCCTCTCCCTGCGTTCTCGTGATCTCTGATTTTCCGGCTTGCGTTTTTCTTCACTCGTTCTGATTCCGGAAATCTTCTGACTGATCGATCGGAGAAGAACGCGGCGGAGAAGAATCTTTGTTTGTTAAAGGTAAGCGATAATCACTGATGATCCTGTTCGATTTGTTTTTTTTTTTTTTTTGTATGGATTCGGAATCGATTCCCTTTGCATGCACGTTTTTAAAGCCTTTGTCGCGATTTCATGGTTCGAACTATCGGAAGATGTTTCGGTGCTTGTATGTTTCTGTTTGATTCTCGGGATAATTCGCGGAAATTGTCCTGGAAGGTTTTCTTTTCTTGATCTCGAAGTAATCGGATTAGTTCGCTCTTGGGAAATAGAATCGAGATTGGTGTGTTGGATCTATTCGTTTTGGTTGTTGGAATACAATTACTTCTTCGGATTTACTGATCAAAGATACGCAGCTTGAAAAAATCGATTTGTTTTCGTTACTGAGCTTTTAATTGTCATTTTATCTCTGTTTGGCTAGAGTTACATGCAATCAGGCACTTCCTGCGGTGATTCTTTGCATCTGTCTGAATCGATTTCTTTGTAATTAGGGACTTTCTTGGTGTGCTTTGTGGATATATTAGCCTGACGAAAGACGATGGTAGCTGACAAAAAAGACGTAGAGAATAAGGAATACCGTCTTCCCCGAGAAGTCAAGGATGCACTACAAGCTGTAGCATCTGAGTGGGAGGATGTGATTGATTCAAAGGCATTGCAGGTTATCCCCTTAAAGGGTGCGATGACCAACGAGGTCTTCCAGATAAAATGGCCGACAAGAGCGGGTGGTCCCTCGCGTAAGGTTGTGGTTAGGATTTATGGTGAGGGTGTGGACATATTCTTTGACCGTGAGGATGAGATCAGAACATTCGAGTCCATGTCGAGACATGGACAAGGCCCACTGTTATTAGAGCGGTTCCGCAATGGTCGTATCGAAGAGTTCATCTGCGCTCGGGTACATATTCTGTTTCTCACATTTTGAGTTTGCTCAGTAACTTCATTGAAATTTGTTGACTGGAAGATTTGTTCCTGCTCCAGTGTTTTAGAAGTACAAGTCTCCATTTCTCACAATGACATATTCTTGATGAGCTTTATTTTCAGCTGATAATTCTTTTTAATGATCTTTGATGCTCAGTAAATTAAATTTAGGATTTTTGAAACTTTCAGACATTATCTGCATGCGATTTGCGTGATCCCGAAATATCTGTCCGTATAGCTGCCAAAATGAAGGAGTTTCACAATCTTGAAATGTCTGGTGAGAAGAAGGCCTGGGTTTGGGATAGACTACGGTATGTTTCTGTCTTTCCTATTTTTCATGCTAGAAAAGGTCAGGTCCCGTTTGCTCTTTCTCATCATCAGTTTCCAGTCTTTTAATATTTGCCCCCTTCCTTTCTGTGCTTCAGAAACTGGTTGAGTGCTTGCAAGAGGTTGGCTTCTCCCGTAGAGGCTAAATCCTTTGGTCTCGATGTTATAGAGGAAGAAATTATGTTACTTCAGAAACAACTTTCTAGGGGTGACGAACATATTGGATTCTGCCACAATGATTTACAGTATGGTAACATAATGATCGATGAAGAGACCAGATCAATAACAATCATCGTAAGTCGCTATCTCTCATACCATTAAAATTCTTTTCTTTGGACATGCTTGTAATGTAGATACTCTATTCTATCGGAAACAACTAATGTACACTCTCATGTTGGCTGTGGCGTAGGATTACGAGTACGCAAGCTACAACCCAATTGCCTATGATATAGCTAACCACTTCTGTGAGATGGCAGCCGACTACCATACTGAAACTCCTCACATTTTGGATTACAGCAAATATCCGGGTAAGTGGTTATTTCCCGTAAACAAGTTTGAGATATTTTGTTTCTCTCCACTCTTTTGGATATGATGAGACCATCGTACCTGACTCCTATAGGTGTTGAGGAGCGTCGGCACTTTCTGCAAATCTATCTGAGTTCTTCCGGTAATTATTTTTTCCCTGTTGTAGAGAATTTTCGTCAGGGTGGCCATTTGGGTTTCGATTCGGGTTCATGTTCAGGTATGTTTGGGTTCTGTTATTTCACTTTTAGAAAAATTATAACCATTCCGTGTTATATGAAATTCGGTTCGGTTCTATTTCGGTCTAGGTTTGGTTAGAATTTTTTTTATTGATTAAAATAGTCATTTTCAAAGAAATCTCCGGTTTCTCTGTTTAATTTATTTTATTTGGTACGGTTAGGATTTTTTTTTTGGGTTTTAGAGAAATCATAGTCATTCAATTTTTATATCGGATTCGGTTCAGTTGAGGTTATGTGTTATTCGGTTCGGATCGGTTTAGTCACTCGGTTAGTAACCAAATTGATCACCCCTAATTTCAGTCCTCTCCTTTCTCTCTTCTTCTGTAAGCATACAAGTGAATACAAAGTACTTTCCGGCCTCTCTTCTACAGGTGAGAAGCCCAGCGATACGGAGGTGGAGACGCTGCTTGAAGATGTGGAAAAGTATACACTGGCGAGCCATCTAGTATGGGGCTTGTGGGGAATAATATCGGTACTTTCCGCCGTCATCATCCATCTGTGCTTCTTCATCGTACGGATTGCGTAAAATGGATCATCCTAAAATAAATTTCAGGAACACGTGAACGAAATCGACTTCGACTACATGGAGTATGCAAGGCAAAGGTTCCAGCAGTATTGGCTAACCAAGGGGAGGCTGTTGGGGTAATAATCCCATGCAAGTTGCAACAGAAGTGATTCAGGTATTACTCCTCTCTTTGTGCAATGAACTTGAACAGAATATTACCCTTTGGTTTTCCGCACTTAAATAAAATCCTGAGAAGATTATGGGGATGGGTAAACCGGGTTTAGGGTTTAATTTTACTAACCGGGTTTTGTAACACATTGCTCTGCTCTTTTCCATCTCATAAAAGGTCTTTTCTTTTTTGGGCTGATGCGGGAAAAGAGAGAGCAGAGCAGTCTTTTGAGCAGTCAATGTGGTAGCAGTTTCTTTGTCTGTTCGTTCGTTTCTTCAATTTTATTCCATTTGTTTCTTGTGTAGTGTTGTGTTGGGTCTCAGGCGTTTTCCTGAAGCTGTTTTGGAATTATTAATACATGTAAATTAGAATGTTATCATCACTAATTTATATGCTTAATTCAATAATTTAACATCCCATTCCGTATGTTCGAATAAAAAGCTTTGATAATATAAATTTAGATATTGACATGTATGGAATCAGTTTGAAATACTGTCATACGATGAGAAATAATAAGAATAAATAAAAACAACCAAGACCAAGCAAAAGGCACAAAGGTTAATCAACATTTGATTTCGTTGCAGAAAACCAAATATTGGCAAATGAAACTAATAAAATTCGGAATAAATTCTTGAAAATAATAGTACTTAAAGTAAGTTTTATTTATAGAAAAAAAAAACGAAAATTCTCCTTAAATAATAAATAAATGTGAAACTTGTTTTTGATTTCGTACGGTTATCGGATAACCGGTTGCCTCCCACATATCATAGTTTTGTGGTTTGGTTTAGCACGCGTAGCTGATTGGTTTGCTCAACCACACAACACACAATCCCTCCCTCCCTCACCCCCGAAAATATCTTCACTATATTAAAAAAGAAAAATAAATAATAAAAAAAAACATCCCTAGAATTTAGTAATTTACTTTTTTTTTTTTCCCCCGATTTCTTGTTTCATCTCCTTTGTCCAATCGGCCATGGCGTCTGCTTCGCATGCTCTCTTATCCCCAAACGGCTGCGTTTTGGCTTCGCCGAAGCCTCTCGACAGATTCTTCTTCAGGTCCAAGTTCGCCGGACGGAAGCATTTCCTCTCCGTCGTCAGAGCTTCTTCCGATGATCCCGATTGTAATGAGGAAGAATGCGCTCCCGACAAAGAGGTGACGAGTTGCACATGTTTTGATTCTGCTTTGAAGATTCTTCGAATTCGCAGAAAAAAACTTAGCGTAGATTGCGAACTACGAGAACTGTGGATTTTTGTTTTCGTTATAATCATTGTTTGAAGAATCCTTCTGTTGTTCTTGTGCCTCGTTATTCGTTCATGGGGCTGACGATGAAAACCAAAGGAACCACTAATCAAAGCTCTGGATAAAGAAACTTAGCTTGCAATTCTACTAGTAATTTCGCATGATGAAGTAGTTTCACAAGTAAACGAGCGCATGAAATTTCTGTAATTAGCGCAGTCTATGATCAGTAATTAACATTTCCATATAAATCAAGAAACAAAATAGGGATTCAATAGCATGGTCATTGAGGTGATCATAAAGTAGGAATTCATGGTATGTGCATTGCTGGGCAGAACACATCATTGATCTATGGCGCTTTTCGAATCTTTATTTCATGTTGAAACGCTAATATTGAAATTCGTTTGGCCGATGAAACGGAACCCAGGTCGGGAAGGTGAGCGTGGAATGGTTGGCCGGAGACAAGACTAAAGTGGTGGGAACGTTTCCGCCTCGAAAACGTGGTTGGACTGGTTATGTCGAGAAGGACACCGCTGGTCAGACCAACATCTACTCTGTCGAGGTTGGTACTTCTGCTTCTAAGCTCTACATTCTCCAGCTTTGTAACGACCCTTGTGCCTTGTGGTTCATTCGGATGAGAATCGATGTTTGCTTATACAGCTCTCCTTAGTCATTAGGAGTCTACAGATGCTGCGTTTATTGGTCAATTACACTCTCGTTCGTCTGTCCACCGCGCGGAATCCGTGGGAATGTGTAGTGCTGTATTCTCCAACTTCGTAACGACCCTTATGGTTCATTCGTTCAAGAATCCGGGGGAATTATTGTTTAAAAAACCAATGTCTTTCCACCCATGTGTTTCATTCGGTCAAGAATCGATATTTGTGTCTCCAGCTTTCGTTTAGAGCTTAAAGATGCAGCATTTAGTGGACAGACTCTTTCTGTGTATCCACTATCCAACTTGTGAAATCCATGGAAATATATAGTCTGCATCGAACACGCAGCTTAAATTTGTGTTACTGTTTCCGTCCCAGACGAGATTTGGTCAGAATGGAATCATTCCTCTCAACCAATGCATCCAATACCTGATAACAATGACTGAGTTCTACTTCCATTGTTTAGCTGAGATAGCTTTACTCGGGGTTTGTTTTTTTTTTTCTGCAGCCTGCAGTGTATGTAGCAGAGAGCGTGATAAGTTCGGGAAATGCAGGATCTTCATCCGAAGGGGCGGAAAATACCGCGGCCATAGTAGCAGGCCTTGCCCTTATCTCGGTTGCAGCTGCTTCCTCCATCCTCCTCCAAGTGGGCAAAACTCCGACCCAACCTCAGGCAACACAATACAACGGGCCGTCTCTCAGTTATTACATCAACAAGTTCAAGCCGCCGGAAATTATCGAAACTTCTGTCCCGGCCGAGACAGAAGCTCCTCCACCGGTGGCCGAGCAAGAAACTCCGGCCGTCGAGGCTCAGCCTGAGGTTTCTTCTGCTCCATCCACCACGAGTACTGCTGTCTCTGAAGGGGTTTAGTTTATTTTTTGTAGAGAGACGCAAATTCTTGACCTTTTCCATATACTTGGATGTATGTTTTTAACTATTTGAGTTGAATTTCATATATCATTTGAAACTCGAACTCTGAGTTTGGGAAATTTTCTTTTGTATCGAACAAAAGCACCATAAAAATAAGTAAAGCAAAACCAATGCATTCGAATATACCAAAAATAAAACCGGAACTAAAATACCTGGCCGTTGTGAAAAGATTAAATAAATCAAAACAAGAAATCGTATTTTCTTTAATTAATAAAAATAAACTAAAATTATTGTTTTTATGTTCATGAAATATTATTATTTTTTTTATGCAGTAAAAAAATATTATCGTGTTAGACATATAGTAAAACTGTAAAAGAGGGATAAAATTTGAATTCCCCCCCCCCCCTTCAAGAGTGATATAAATGAGAATTGGCGCCATTTTCTTCGATCCCTACAGTTCCTGGCGTTTGGAGTCTAGGGTTTCTCCATTTCCAAATCTTCGAAAGTGAATTCGTTTCCACCAGTTCCAAATCGTCGAGGTAAATCTCGTCTCTCTCTCTCTCTCTCTCTCTCTCGTTGGGATCTTCGTCTCCATCTCCGTCTTCTTGCAAAACTCAAATTCGACTCCTGCTTGTTCTCGCTCGTTGGATAAAGTCAAATTTCTGAACATGTTGCTTAAGATTTTCTTCCTCCGGGAACTTGGGTCGGCATCGAGATGATATGTATCCGCTTCCTAATCAGATCAAAGTTCCCATTACATATCATTCACGATATCCCCTCTCATTCAAGTTCTAAACAGAGAAGAGAAGGCACATCTTCCCGTTATTTTGGGACAGACGCGGATACTTGAGGTTCGGATTCTCAGACAAGACCGAACTAATCCGAGAAAGGGAGAAGTCGAAGTCGAAGTCGAGGTCGAGGGATTCGTGTTCATTCCTACTATATGCTACAATAATGGCGTGGTTGATCTTTCTTTAATTATCCTGTATTTTTCCTTCCAGAGATACATGGTTTTCCCTATCCAGGCCAAATCCAAATGTGTGTGTGTGTATATATATTGCATATATTTATGTGGAATGCTTTATAAATTTTGTATAATTATTTAAAACTGAAAAAGTTCATGTATTTACTCTGAATAATTCACAATGATTTTCTGTGGAATTATCCCACCATTTTTTTTTACAAGTTAAAAAATTTTCAAACTATTTTTTAATTTAGGAATAATTAAGTAGACTTGTTTTATTTTAAAAAAAATTGCAACTTCGACGTTTTATATATGTAACATTTTTACATGTAGGCGTTTTCCCTTTTATTTATATATTTTATTAACTTTATAGGTATATATATATATATATATATATATATATTTAATTATTGTTTAAAAATCAATCGAGTATTTTTTTAATGTATTCTCATCAAATCTAAACCAAAAAAAGTAGAAAAAAGAGATATATTTCTTGAAAAGTATTCGTGGTATTAGCTCCCCCATTCATTCTAATAAATTTGATTTTAAGTAAATCAAATTACAAACTATAACAGGAAGATGCAGTATATTAGCAAGAATTTTAAAAAGCATTTGGAAAATAGAATTTACAATACATTAAAACGAACAATTTAGTAGACGTAAAAATATAGGGGTATTTATTTGTCAAATTAAAGATTAATATATATTTTGGTATATTTTATAAGATTTTGGTATTTTTGTAGGGTTTTTAAAAAGAAACAGAAGAAAAAAGTCAAGGGCTGCGGCTTGACGAAATGGGCAATGACAATAACGAGGATAACAAAAAAAAATGTGGGACATAATCCATTATATATAATTAATTTGGTCTTTGTAACCCAATCAAAAATTATTAGTCGATATCCAAATTTGAATAGTTCAACCACTCAATTATGATACAAAACGTATATTTATATGTCCCAAATTCAAATATTAAATTTAAAAAAAAGTGTATATTCCAAATTAAATAGGTTGGATTCGATTCCGAAATTAATCTATATCTTGGTATAGAACACTCGGTTACGAAATTAATCTGCTTTTTTTTTTGTTATGTCATTTGTCTCTGTCTTTTTCATTTTTTGGGCCGTGGGGGAGACATAAACCTAACCTAATTGACATCACTTGTACCCATATATATATGTGTTACCATATTGCATCACTTGTAAACTCATGCCTCGCTCTAGTGTGAATTTTTTTTATACATATATATCAATCTCCATAAATTGATATTTGTGTATGTGTGTTATGGTTTGTCGCGATTCTGTAGAAAAAAATATGTGAGAATAAGAAGATAATGATATGGAAATTTTGATATAAAAAGATATTAAAAGATAGAGATAAAGTTGAACAATCTTATAAACGTGTTTTGGGTGGAAGAATATATATATATATATAGATATATATAGTTAACGATCTAATATCCAGGTCGTTAATATTTCTTTCGATTTCATAACAATATATATATATATATAATTAGCTAAAAAAATATGAGTTGGAGTTTTGGGTATACTCTAAAAACAACCGGAAGTAATTGGAATTTGTATAAATGAATAAAATTTCAGAATATTTTTGTTCGATTACCTTTTTTTGTTCTATGTTTGCACGTATACAAAATATTAAAAAGATATAGTTAATGACTTCATTACTTGTTTCCTATAATATGCTCAACGTTCGGATTCTAATTCCAATAATTGTTGGGTTAAAAATATTACTCACAGCAGTAAAATTATAAAAAAACAAATATGGTACATACGGATAAAATAACAATATTTAGAACGATTAACTATTCCCTCTATTTCTTAATAAATAGATTATTTTTGTTTTAAAATAGTTGTCATTTTAAATTTTTTAGATAATCTCTAATAAAGATTTCTAATTTTATTTTTAATTAAAAATATTAAATTTAATGTGGATATGGTTTAATGAGGATATATATGATTTTAAAAAAAAATAAAAAATAAAAAATATAAAAAACCCTAAAACGATATTTATATTGGAAAAGTTTGAAGTGTACTTAACAAGTACCAAAGAAATAGAATTAATTTAGGAATTCTTGTTTCGTTAAATCATTGAATCGTGTGAATTAACTTTTTCATATGCCATCTTACAATATTAATTCAAAATCACTAATGGTATGGATTTCGATATTGGATAATGTATGAGATCTCACAAACCACTCGAAAGCTAATTTTACATGTTGGAATAACCACATCATACATAATCACTGTCAAATTTTTCGAGTTTTGTCATGTTTGTCTCTTAACTCAATTATTGTACCGTTCAATAAAAAATCTAGATTTTTCAAAAGTCGGAGAGTTAAATAACAACTTTTATGACAAAAAAAAATCATATTCATTTTGAAAAAGTACTCAAGAAACAGTCCAAAGATGATAACGGATTAGGGTCTATATTTTAGATTTGTATTACCTTTTAGTTTTAAGTTTTCGATTTTAAAAACTAAATTATATGGGTTTAATATTTTACTTAGCTTTCATTCTTTCATATTTGTTTTAGACTCTGTTTTTTTTATATAAAAAAACTTACTTTTATAAAGGATTTTCTTTTATATTAAGTTTTATAGTTGTTGAATTTAGTTTTAAAAATTATATACAATCACGTTTTTTATACGGTTATGTGTTATTATTTAATTCGGTTTCGGTTAACATTTTCTATCAGAATCCAAAGAACAATTCATTGGTTGCGTTGTGTTGTTATTCGAGGCAACGTGATCGTCAACCCAAAACGAGAGAAAACAAAGAAAAGTTGGGTCAATGTCTATTTCGCAATAAAATAAAATAAAATAAAATGGGGCAATGATAATAAAGATGTTGGCACAAAAATATTAAGTTTTGAACGTAACATTAAAATTCCATTTTCAAATTCATTATTTAGTCATTAATGGGATTGTAATTTCACCTATGCCCAATTCTAGTATCAAATTTACATGTAAAGTTATAACAATCCGTGACAAAATAGGTATTAATCTTTATAGTAAGGTTAATATCGTGAATAATCCATAACAAAGGTTGAGGGTATATGTCCATTAGAAACTTAATTGGGTATCGAGTTAGAGAGGATGATTATTTCGAGACATTGAAATAATATTGGATCCTTATAGATTCTAATGTAGCGAACGTGGTTTAATTTTGGTTAAACGAGAATGTGAGCCTATCCATTAGAAACTAAACAATTGAATCATTTTCAACAAAATATTTTTAAAAAATAAATTAAACTCAAAATATCTGTCGTCATATGTATCAATTTTGGTTAAACGAGAATGTGAGCCTATACCAATTGGTAGAGGATACTCTCTTGTCCTTGTGTGTGTATATATATATATATACAAGTATATATTAGGCCATGGCATGAACTCTCACTTACTGTATTTATTTATTGTAGGGATAATCGTATAAAAATACCCGAACTTTTACAAAAATTTCACATAAATACCCGAACTATAAAATTATCATATAAATACCTGAACTTTTCACAACTCTCACATAAATACCCAGATTTTTTATTTTTTTTTTCTAAATCAAACATCCGTCCGTTAACAGCGTCAATTTCAATCCAAAAAAGTGATGAGTCAGCCAAAAAAGTGATGAGTCAGCATTAAATATTTTATATGCTGATGACTCAGCATTAAACATCCAAATATTTTATATGCACTTAGTATTTATTTTTTAAATTGTTATAAAAATCTATACATTTTAAATAAAAAATATATTAAAATACATTTAAAAATATTTAAATTTAAAACTATAAAAAATTTTAAATTTAAATTTTAATATAAATATAAAACTTAAAAGATTTAAATTTTAATTTTTTGTAATATTTATAAAAATTTTAAATATTACAAAGAAATGAATTGATATAGATATTAAATTTAAATATGAAAATATTTATATAAATTCTATATCTAAAAATATTTACAATTAGTAAAATTTATTTAATTTTAAATACCCTTTTATAATTTAATTAATTTTTATCCAATTATAAATTATGTATTTTTGAATTTTGTTGAAAGTTTATGTGATTTAATTTTTGTTAAAATCATTTCTATTTTTATTCCAATTTAAATTTAGTTTAATTTAAAAATAAAATTTGATCTTTCTTAAA